TGTATCCTTGTAGAAGTATGTAAAAAAAAATAACTTGAAGCAGTAAAATACTGCCGTAAAGAAGACGGGCATTAATGAATTAGTAGTGATATATCGTAGAGCAGCAGTCACAATCCATGTTTCTGCCTTAATACTTCTGCTTAAGTGACATTTTCAATCGTGTATACTTGCTTTGAATGGATTATTTCTACAGTGTGCTGTTAGTACCTTTATTTAAGTTAAAGATCTGACCACCTTTCCCACCACTGCTGGACATAAACGAGTTTCATGGGACAACCGCTGCATTCTCAACACATTACAGACGCCAGAAACCCAAAAACGTCAAACAGAATTTAAAAGAATTTAAGCACAAAAACCAATGATGGTGGCAAAACATAGATGGACAGGTTCTCCTGATGAAGTTTAAAGTGAAGAGTTGCTTAAAAATCCAAAGTTTTTGATGACGAACCGCTCGGTACAGTACAACTTTTTGTGCATGTAGAACGTTTTGTTAATTAAACAACAGGCTGGCGTTCGTTTGTAGTTATTATGTTGAGAGTTGAGCTGATAGTTAGATTGGAGGTGCACACAGAGAATACAAAAGCTAAAAGTCCAAACACAGGAATTAGATCCACATTTACATAGTTACCATGGAGACACAGCTGTAAACAGTAAGTAGTTGTAGTAATCTGACATGAAACTGCAGTCATTTATTAATATGTGTTTACTCTACAAGGGGGACTGTAATCCTTCAGCGGTGTGTTTGCAGAGTCAAGACATCAGCTTGATGTGCAGCGTGGAGTCAGTGGAGCGTTTGAGTGTTGGTGGAGGTCGGTGCTCTCGCGCCGCCTTCTGCTTCCACGCGGTGAAGAAGTCGTCCCCCTGCACGGCAGCGTATAGACGGCAACAGATTGAGAAAATAAGAGCTTAAACCGAAGCGAGAGCGAGTCTGGGAGCAGCCTCCCACCGCCATGCTGTCGCTCATCCGGCGGAGGCAAACTCGGCCCATCTGCTGCACCGAAACTGCTGCTTCTTCTTCTTCTTCACCTGCAATGACAAACGTAGCCCCGAGCTCACCGGAGACTGAGCTGGCTGCGAGCAGACACGAGAATTAATAACTTGTTGGATCGTGATTTGCAAAAACAACCATCAAGATGCCATCTGGTCGCAATATTTGCAGAAGCTTCTCATCCTTAACTGTGCATATCAGCAAAAAAATGGTTTGTTTGTGGCCCTAATCACAGCAAAACGTGTCCATATTTCACATTTAATCTATGAAAGCATGTTTAAGGTAAAGCAAGAAGATGGGTAGAATATGTGGCAGTATGAGGATGTCAGCGCTCTGTGTGTGTGTTTGCAGTGTTTTGGTGTTTTGCTGCTACTCTGACCTCAATCCTTCTGCTGTGGCCCCGCAGTCAAATTATAAACCCTTTACTGAGATGTGTGTTACATAAGTAGGGAAGCTGGGGGCAGATCTTGACTTTGAAGTTCCCTCAGCCGAAACCCAGCGCCGCTCTGTCACTGGCGCTGTCTGCTGGCGGTGAGAGGGCAGAGGTGGAACTGGACCCACGATGGCGGGCGGGGCAGCAGATGGGAACGGACTCGAAGCACGCTAAGATCACATTTCCTTCGTGTCTACGGTGTTTCAGGTCACGTGTGAAGTCACGGTTTTAAGCTTTTTATGTTGTTTTGCCTCAAAATGTTCCATCAGAGAAAAGAATCAGCATTTTCTGCTAAATTTCCAGTCTAAAAATGAGGTTCCCCATTATGAAACGGCGAGATATTCAGCTGTGAACTGTCATTAGGATAAGTTTTGTCTACAGTGGGAGGAAATGGACGTTTAGTTTTGATCTTTTCTTATTGTTTTGCCTTTGTCTTGCGGTTTTCTTAAATGAAACAAGCAGCAACAAGCTTGAAATTTAAAATGCAGCACCTTGACGTGTAATACCACCAATGGCCACTAGGTGCTGGCTCCAGAAAACCTCTGCCTCCAATAGACTCCCATTCAAAAAGCAGCAGCTTCTCTCATGAAATACTAAGTCGGTGCATTATTTTCAGAAGTCTTTATGATTGCTAATTAACCTCTGATTAATATACAAGTGGTCATTTTGAAAATAAACACATAATTAGCTAATTTTAGGCCTCAACGTCTTTTATAATGGCATCAATCTAGTTACATTTTTGATTTGTGCAGCTGGAAAGTCCCTGAATTTTTGTCATGTGATTGTTGGTCACAGCTGAGTCAGTCGTCACCTCGTGGTTGCGCAGAAAAGCACAAAATTTTTATTTATTTTACAGAATCTGGTGATTGCAAATGGGCTGCTTTTGGCAAAATTTGGAGACGCAAAATGTTGATAAAATATGAAGATTTTAAGGCTAAACTTGGCTGTTTTGCCCAACGAAAGTGACAAAACAGATGCGTGATTAGTTCAAGGACCGTCAGAAAGTTCAAAGTGCAATGATTCCTTCTGTTTATACAGTTTTTGCTATAATAATTAGTGCAATTTAGACAATTAAAAAACAAACAAACATGCTTTTTTACTCCTGCTGGCAAGTTTATGAGTGAACCTTGAGCTTCCAGCAAGCAAGCAACTTCACTCAAAACAAAAAAAAATGTAAAAGTTGCTCTAACAGGCGATAGCTTAGATTTTTTTAGGTCATAATGCATCTGATGTGTAAACTGTAGCTCGTTGTGGCTAAAGCTAATTAATGCAGCATTGAACACAGAAGTTAAAGTCATCCTAAACGTAGAAAACAACTGTAAAATTAGAGTTTTTATTAATAAAACATAACAAAAGGTCCGTGGACATAAACGTATTTCCTAATCAGCGCTCTAATTAACTTAATTAACTCGGCTTAATGAGCTCGTCGGTATTACCGGCTGCGTTTTATACATCATCGTGACATTTGGCGGCTCGGCTGCCTCTCGGTCTTGTGGGTGAATTTATATCTTAGACTCTTCGGTCTCCTCTCGCTGTGTTCGTGGAGTTTTTTTTTTTTTTTTCTGGAGTCAGCAGTTTGCTCATGAAGACACCACAAACACCGTGACGCTGCGACACACCGTCTCCTCCTCCTCGTGTTTACACAGCACCGGCTTTCCATATATCTCACACTGTAGCTGCACGATCACTGCTCACGTTGTTTTATCATTCTGTTGATGTTTTACCGCCTCCTGGACGCACACTTTCCACATCAGCCAGACCTTTCACTGTCTCCTGCTTTCTCTGCTGCTACACCTTGTCCTCCTCCTAATCAGATCAATCACTTCCTCTGACATCGCTTCATGTTTCCAGGCAGTAAATCCTCGTTTCTTTCCCTTCTTCTCTTTTGCATTCCTCTTCCTGCCTCCTTCTCATCTCCTATCCTCCACCACTCCTCTGGTCAACCTCCTCTTTTTTTTTTCTTCCTCTGCTCCTCCCTGGTCTCTGCGGTGTGTCTCTGCTGCCCCCTGGTGTTTCAGACTGTTTCTGCAGGCAGTTGATCAGCTTGTGTGATAAGACGAGGAGTGTGAGAGAGAGAACTAGAGCTCTGTTTACTCACAGATCAATGGAAGTCACTTAGATCTGGATGGGCATTCGGATGTGGATTGACAACACACACATAAACACACGGCGAAATGCTTTAACCGTCTGATGTAGTGAAAGAAAACTGACATTTTGAGAGCGTGGAGACAAGTTGAACAAACATGCATTGCAAGAATAATAACCCGAAATCTAAAATAAGGCATTTTCACATACAAGAAGTTAAGGATCCCGGTGAAAATTGTGTTTTTTAATTCCAGATGTTGCTTTATTTAAGTGTTGGCAGACATATCATGGGTTAAACAGGCTGTCAACACTATGCTTGAACATTTCCACCTCAGAACTGCAGCGTACCAGTAACAGTCTCAAAAGCACAGATTCAAACTTCCTGTGTTTCATATGTCACAAACCCAAGCAACCAATCAGGATGGAGCTTTCTGTGTCAATCTCCAGAATCAGTTTCGACACGTATTGGCTGAATTAATAGCAGTTTGTCGGCATGTAGAGTGGTTCGCAGTGTTTGAGCAGAGTCGTGGGTGAGCTGGTGTGCTTGAGCTGCACTGAGGGCGGAAGGAGAGGCAGGGATGTTGTGTATCTGCACATTTTAGAGAGAAGGGATCATTTTCATGGGGAAAAAGTGCCACTTTGATTCACTGAGATGCATTTTTAGGGTTAAATCAACAACTGGAAAAGGATTTAAATAAACTGTCACATGTTGTTTTAATCAGTGAAGGACTTTTAATTAAACTGATCGGCTGCTGTGTTGGTCTGATTGATTGGACTTTGTCGATAGCTAGAAGAGCACATAATGAGCAGCATCAGTAATAACATTAAGTCATATTTATCCACCTCAGCTTATCTGGAAGAGGGTACTGAAGGCACAAGTGTCCTGATCCTTGGCTAACTGCATCAGATCACAACAGATATACAATCCTTCTGGAGTAAATGGGGTTTGCCTCCTGGTCTCCTCCCAGTTTGGTGCACCCAGAACAGCTTAAACCACCTCAGCAGGCTTCATCCAACCCGATAGAGCCGTGGTGCTGCTCTGACCTCCCCCTTCGTACCTGGGCTCCTCAGACTCCATGCAGGAGGCTCGTCTCCTTCTGCGATCTCGTTCTTTCGGTCACTAACTCATGACGACGGGGGAGCATCTGGAGGTAGACGAGCTGATAAACTGTTGCTCTAATCGACCTCCTGCTGTCCGTGAACGAGACCTGGAAGTTTTCGGAGCAGAACCTCTCCTTAGGGGGGACGATGCACCATTTTCCGGAGTCGCTGATCCTCAACGCAGCCCTTCACACTCGGCTGCAAACCGCTCCGCCGCACGCCAAGGGTCAGCAGGACGACGTCGTCTTTAAGAAGCCGCATGACAGAGGACGCACTCAGATTATGTGCAGAAACATCTGGTGTGTGTCGTCTGTGGATATGTTCAGCGTGGCGGCCCAACGGGAGCTTCAGGGTGTCGGGGGATGTTATTTATGTGTGGTTGTTGTTTTGCAGGTGAAGACCGTGTTCAACATGACGGCCAAGGAGGGCAGGAAGAGGTCCCTCAGCTGTCTGGTCGCCGTGGGAAACGGCAAAGGAGCTGCAGGTTTGAATCTCGCTAAACCCTTTAAAAACCCGAAACCTGCTGGCAGGTTTAAAAGACATGTTGTGTTTTTTGAAGAAATCACCCATATGACAGCATTTATGAGAGCTGGAAGGTGTAACACAGAGAGAATGATCAGATTTTCATCCTTTTCTGTGAAAAATGTAACCAAATCAACACTTAGAACAGTTAAATCTCATTGAAATCACTTTATTCTACGTGTGTCTCATTCAAAACTTCACTAAAAATATATTGTGTGCAGCAACCAGGTTCTGTAAAAAACTGAAAAGTCCATTACAATAGAAACCAGGAGCTGAGACGAGTCTGCAAATAAATATACGTTTTTTGAATTCAGTAAATAAGCAACAAACAGAATTATATTTCAATAGCGTCGGTGTGTTTGTTCGAAAACAGCAGGAAAAACTACCCAGGAAGCTCTTCTCACACTCACCTGCCTTCAGCCTCTTCTTACAAAGAGCTGCTTTGCTTAGACATCGTCGCTGTTTATTACCTTAAAGGCTCTCAATCGCTGCAGACATTACGAGCTGTGACTTCTGCTTCAGGCTGCTCCGGTCATAATACAGACATAATACTATAAACTTTCCATCTTCACTGCTCGCTGACCTCGCTGTGTTCATCACAAGTGTTTTTTCCCTTCCGTCCTTCCAGGCTTTGCGTTGGGTAAAGCGGCAGACAGAAACACAGCCCTGAGGAAGGTAAGACCACACAGCTGTTTCTAGTCCAAGTTCAGGAATCAGGTTTTGTGTTTATCTCCAGTTTGTTTCAATTGATGGTTTTTAAATACAGCTGAGTGATAAACGGCCACGGGGCATTCAGTTCCCACTAAAACCTACAGAATTAATAACCTCCTTTAATGAAACACCCGAATGACCGCTGATTAAACTGCATCAGAATTAATTGGTCCACATTTATAGTTTTATGTATGAAATCCAAACACAAATAAAAAAAAAAATAGTTGAGTAACTATGTAGATTAAACTGGGTTACAAAAACATGTTTGTTTTTTTTAAGGTGTTTAGGATTTTTTTAACTGATTTAGAACATTTTTGCGACGCTGAATCCAAAAATCTGCTTTTTCTGTATCAGGTCAGGTTTTTATGCCAACTCGATATTTAAAAAAAATTGATTTTAGCACTAAATCAATCACATTTTTTGACATTAGCGATTGATTTATTTTAGTATTTCTCATATGAAATCGGATTTTAGAGGAACAAAATTCATTTTCTAATCCTTTTCATAATCTAAATGATCCAAAAGTTGACGAGCGTAAACATCTGTAAAGGTAAATACAAGCAAATTGCATGTTTCATCAAATCAAAATGTTGACCTCGGTGAGCAAAACCGATGTCATATTTGGATTCAGCGCATTGCAATTGTCCAAAATCAGCTCAAAAAACTTAGACACCAAAATGGGTGTAGATCAGTGTTATGTAACTGGTATTCCTGTAATTAAAGGCATAATTGAAGTCAGTTCAGGCACATCTGGACTGCTTTAGAACCAAATTCTCAGTCTAGCTGTCATGTAGTTCAGTATGTTTCTTGGACGGGATGTAACTGTAAATGTAATTTCTCTGTAATAGAGGATTATCTTATCGTATCTTGTCTTATCTTATCTTATGATGATTGATTGCATAGTTTTTTACGTGACTAATATCATATTATTTGCCTTTAAACAGTCATTTGTCTCTAGCTGTCACCAGTCTTTCCATCCTAACACCAAATAACCTCCAGTCTGTGTTTGTGTTACTGTGACCTGCAGGCCAAGAACAGAGCCATCCACTACCTGTACTACATCGAGCGATGCAACAACCACACCAGTAAGTCACTCCAGTCGCTCCAGTCGCTCAGTCACATCATTTCTTTGTTGTCGTCTCCTTCTTTCATCTGTTTTACCTCGTCTTCAGTTTCTGTTTGTGACGCTGTAGACACAAGACTAAACTTCATGGAACATATGATGTGAATACATTTCGGAGCACCTTGCTGCATAAATTTGCACATTAACGAAGGAGCTCTGATTTTCCCCAAATTGCTGTGAGTCGATCTGCAAAGACAAACACTTGAGGATGAAAAATCTCCGCTGATTATCTTCTGTCTGCCTCAGACGGGTGATTTTACTGACATGTCTTCATCACGGGACCACAGTTAAAGGGTTAAATTAAAGAAGAAACTTCCCAATAATTAAATAAAAATCCCCAGTCGTTGCTTTTGCTATTTATCTAAATTGAAATAAAGGACACGTAGGGCGCATTTTATTGATTAATTGGCATTTTATTTGCATATATTCAGGGTTAAAACTAATTAATCACCTTTGCTGTGGTGTTTAAATGAAACTTTAATCAATTACAAAACAACAGCATCACTTGTGAAACTTATAAGTCAATGATCAGTTTAACAGCTGCATTAGTGCAATATAAGCCTTTGTTTTGGGTTATGGTGGTGCGTCTCGCTGCAGATGTTTGCATATTAATGAGGTAAAACTGGCAAAGGTGAGCACATGCAGGGTTTTTTGTTGTTTTTAAGGTAATCTAAGTGACTCTTTCTTTGAAGGAAATCCTCAGCAGAGAAGTACAAAACTCCTCCATGTTTATCATGTTTTATCTGTCAGTTTGCCATCAGGGATGCCTCCAAAAACTACGATACCCATGAGCCTCAGCTGCCGTTGCGATGGTGATGTCGCAGATTCAGAACACGATGCCAAAGTTCATCCAAAATTAGAAAAGAAAAGAACAGAATTCCTTTATTGTCGTTGCAAAAAAGTTAAGCAGCAGCGCTCGGTGCTTTCACACGATCAGGCAGCATTTATAAAGGCACAGAGGGAGACGTGCAAATATGAAATAATCTGGTAGAAAAGTCCTGTGGAAAAATCCTCAGATGCATTAAAAACTGTAAATTGCAGAACATGCATGAAAAAATGATGGCTTAATGTGGTGCATAGAAATAAACTTTGCATCCAAGGTGCACAAAAACTGACCCCAAATCCAAGAAGCATCTGATATCAACGCTGTGGCGCTGCTCACTGCCGGTTAGCAGCACAGTTTTAGGTGTGACTGGATGTTTCTAAGTCAAACTCAACTTGAGGTTCATATTTTGGTTTCAGCAGGAGTTGATCCGAGCTGTCAGAGTGCTCCTACAGCGAGTCACCGGACATTTTCTATGAGTTAAAAACGAGTGAATGGAACTGAATATCCTCTTCCACTCCACAACTCTGTTACTTCCACTCCCTCTCCGTCTCCTTCACTCCTCTCGTCCTTTTACCTGCTTGTACTCTCACAGGCGACATAATCCCAAAAATGGATTTGCGAAGAAAGGTACGAGAGTTAAAATGCACCGCTTGTACTTTTTTTTTTTGTAAAGCTCCACTTGGCTTCTTGCTGCTGCTGCTGGAGGGCAGAGCCAGAAAGATTAATGTGAGTGAGTCATCGGCCTCCAACGCGCCCACCGGAGGAGAAAGTTAGCTTCCTCCTTTGGCCTCCAACCAGACAGGAGGTGTGTGTGTGTGTGTGTGTGTGTGTGTGTGTGTGTGTGTGTGTGTGGTTCAGCGTTTCCTCCCAGCTTGACTTCAAAACCGTGTTACATTTAGTTTTTGCAGGTTCGTAGAAACAACGCGCCGCCCGCCAGCTCTCTCTGCGCGACCATCTGCAACCTGTCTGCTTGATTGGTTGTTTGTTTACGTCCTCGTCCGAATGTCATCATCACACAATCTGATCGCTTTCAGATCATGTTTTTTTTAATTTCAGTAACCTCTTTTTTAATTGTAACAGCAATTTTGCAGGATTTTAAGCTATCTGTTTGATGCTTAGCGAGCTAACGCCAAAGTTAGCTCGATCAGAAGTCAATGAGTGTTTCAAATGATGCTTCAGCTACATAGCCTGATAAAGAAAACCTGGTTTAACAAAGACACACAGTGGTGTTCTTGTGGTTTAATCGTAGCAACTGCTTGAGTTCCTTGAAGACGTTCCACCTCTCATCCAAGAGGCTTCATCAGTTCTGACTGACGAGTTGGGAGAAGGAACCATTCACACTTGATATTCGGTTTCAGCTGGGGGTTTGTTGCTAATGAGGTGTTGTTAACGAGGGGGAGGAGCAACAAAGCCCCAGTTGAAACTGAAACTCAAGTGTTTAGTGGCTCCTAAAGAAGTTAATGAAGTATCTGGAACTCCCAACTAGTCAGCCAGAACTGATGAAGCCTCTTGGATGAGAGGTGGAACGTCTTCAAGAAACCCAAGCAAGTCCAGTTGCTACGATTAAACTACAAGAACACCACTATGTGTCTTTGTTAAACCAGGTTTTCTTTATCAGGCTATGTAGGTGCTTAGTTTGAAGCAGCACTCATTGACACCAAAACTTCTGATCAAGCTAACTCAAGGAAGTCCAGTTGCTTCGATTAATCTACCAGAACAACCGTGACCTGGAGGACTGAGAATCTCCACAGACACACACAGCGGTACCAGTTATCTTTGAATCGAGTTTAGGTTTTGTCAAGCCAGCGAACACAAACAAAGCCTGACTATGTTGAACTTGCGTCGACCTTCCAGTTTGTTGTTAAGGTTGTCGGGACTCTCTCAGATCAAGAGTGAATATTTATGTGGCTTCAGTGGAGTTTAAAAGAAATGTGAAGCGAGTATGAATTCATTTGAATAGGACAGCGAGTTTAGTTGTGTCTGTTTTGGCCGTTTTTCTACCTTTTGTCGATCGAAAACACAACCTCTTGACCTGCAGATTAGCCACACGAGCGATTTCAAAACTGATGTCCTTTTGGTTTAAGTCAGACTTTTATTTGAATCTTCCCATCACTGATATATGAAAGAAGCTTTTCAAGGAGGAATCTGCGTCTTTCCATCTGACTTTATCTCTTCGCAAGATGAAGCCGGACCTCCCGCAGTCGCAGCAAATGCTTCCTCTCAATGTGCGTCGCTGCTTGTGTGTGTATTTGACATTTAGTTTTCCATTTTAGATTCCTTCACGCAGCAGGACGCATCCCCCGAGAACCAAATATGCTAATTTTACTCCTCTCATCAGTCCCGTCCGTTCAATCCCCCCTCCTCCAAAAACAGCATCCTTCTGTTTTCGTGCAGCATCTCGGCAGAAAACCAAACTTATTAAGCGTGCTAAATTAAAACTAGATGTCTGGAGGACACGGGGACGGCAGCCTTAAGATTTGAACCTGAAGTTGTGGAGTTTGCTTCATCCGGCGGCTCCCACTCGGGGACTGCATGTGTCTGAATAACTAATGAGCCACAGCTGCTGCGGCGAGCCGAGGACGCTGCCATGTGGAAGGACATCTGGTGGGCAGGTAGAGGAAGCGGAGACCTGAGGGAGAACAGGGGGAAAAGATGCAGAACAAAACACGAGCGCTTCCACTTGGAGACGAGGATCATTCCTGTCTGTTTGTTGCGTCTGTTTGCTCTCGCCTCTTTCTGCCGGCCGTGATGCAGCTGCTGTTCTCTCTCCCGACAGTTTACCACGACATTGAGTCCAAGTACAAGAGGACGAAGCTGCGCATGAGGAAACAGAACGAAGGTAAAGCTGTAGAAATGCTTTCCTGTGTGGCTTAGTTTTACGTTTTTGCATGTTTAGCTGTGTTACTGTGAACCGCATTCATTGAACCTCCTGTCTTCTGCAGGTTACGGCCTCCGCTGCCACCGCGCCGTCATCACTCTGTGCAAGCTGATCGGCATCACAGACATGTACTGCAAAGTGGAGGGATCCATCAACCTCCTCAACATCACGCGAGCCTTCTTCACTGGACTGGCCAGCCAGGTGAGGGCTTGTAGGCGTGGAAGGAGAGTTTCTTTGGGTGAAGGTGTTCAGAAATGAGTGGAAACAAGTGAAAATGTCATGCCCTGCTATAAATAGAGGTCCAAAACCAAAAGAAATTGAACAAAAAGTCAATTTTTCTGTTTGTAATTTGAGTCGAAAAGGTAAACTTTTACATATTCTATATTCATTACACATTAAATGAAATATTTCAGGGTTTTTGTTTCATTTTGATGTCCATGGTTCATGAAAATCAGAAATCCTACATCTGGAATAATTACAATATTTCCTAAGATCAATCAAAAAAACTATTTGCAATGCAGAAATGTCCAACTTCAGAAAAGTATGATGCACTGGTGTGAAGCAGGTCTTTAAAATGTGTTCAAAAGTCTCATTTTCAGCACTTGCTAAGGTGTAAAATGAGCATCTTTGAGTGCTTTAGGTACAACAGTGACATGTGTTCTTACAAGTCAAAGCTGCAGGAGGTAGGCCTGGTCCAAATAGTAATTTCTGTTCTCTGGATATTTTGCCCCAATTAATGACGAATATCAGCGGTCAGCGTACTGTATCCGCCATCAGTGGCGGCAGCGGAGGGGGGAATATTCGTAGATCAAACTTTATATCCCGATTTCAGCACAGCGAACGAATAGACGGCTATTCGGCTATTCGGGTCCAGCCCTAGCAGGAGGTAGAAATCTGGAAAAGGCACAAAATAAACAAGCCAGAATTCCTAAGATCCTCCCTCTGGATGAGAATAAGAGTTCAAGAGTCACATACTCAGACAGGTCACCTGATCTGGTTGAAGAGATCTGTGATTGGCTGAAGTCTACAAAGTCACCGGTACTGTGGTGTTTCTCAGCTAACTGCTCATCCAGTTGTGTTTGTGTCCACCTGAGTGTTTTCTACTTTTAGCTGCGTCTCCACCGTCTCCTGAGGGAAATACGAGGCTGTTTAGCTGCTAAATGCTCCTCAGCGAGTCGCTCGCTTTGTCTGTCAGGTGTTTGGTGCTCAGCAGGTAGTTTACGGTTGTTTTTTTGCCTGCTGTGTCTGAAAACTGACCGTTTTGTCTTAGAAAAAGCACCGTTGATGCGTCATGTCATCTGACTGATGGAAATTAAAGATATTTAGACATGGTCCAAATAACTAGACTTGAAGGTAGGATGAGAAGCTGCATGTTTACACTGCAGTATAGTTAAAATATGGAGATATCATTGCATATTTTCTCTTCTGGGAGGTGTTTAGTGTGTTTGTTGACATGAAAAGGGGCGTCTTGCAGTTAAAAGAGAGTCTGAATGTGTCAAATAAATATAGTGAAATAGCCGTTGTTAATATATAAATAGTCTTTACAGATGCTTTACTTGTTTGATATCAAGAACAGCAGCTGGTCTTTCACTGTTTCTGTCTTTGTAAAGGTTTTTCTGGTCGATCACGTCAGAGATCCAAACTCTGGCGCCGTTCAGGGAAAACAAACTCGATGTACTTCACGACTCCTTCTCCTCCTCCTCCCCTTACGTCTCTTCACCGTCTCCTCCTGCAGGAAACCCACCAGCAGCTGGCCAACAGGAAGCAGCTGCACGTCGTGGAGTTCCAGGAGCAGCGAGGCCCGATCCCCATGTTGGTGGCCAGTCCCAAAGACGGAGCGCGACCCAACCCGGAGTCCAAGGACGACATCCCGAACACCCGGCTGAACTACGACGACGTTAAAGCGGCGCAGGGAATGAAGCGCTCGGCCTGGGCGGGCGTCAAACGCACCATCTGGTAGCCAATCAGGGTTTGGGTCAGAGAACCGGACAGAAGGTCGGGACTGATGGAGGTCAGGAGAGTCGGACTGAAGGTCTGACTTTTGGCTTTGGAACATTTCAGTCAGTTGTCATTGAGGATCTCCACATGCAGCCGTTTGTAAATGTCTGTTTGGTCAACAAAGGTCTGAAGTTCAGATGTTTCTGAACACGATCCAGATTGACCTGGTACAAGCGGATGAGCGTCAACAAGTGTAGAAACCCTCCTGATCCACGTGGACGTGTTGCAAAATACTGTGTGTACAAATAAAATAAAGTATGAACCTTTAAAACATCACCTTTCAGTCTGATTTATCAAATAACGCTCGTTATATCTGTAGAGTCATAAAGTGTAGCAGCAAAGAGCAAACAATGAGCTGGAACTTGTTACAGGTCTGAGGTTTCTGGTTCACCTGGACAGGTAACCAGTCTATCACAGGGCTACACTTAGAGACAGACAACCAAGCACACTCACATTCACACCTACGGACAATTTACAATCACCAATTAACCTCAACATGTTTTTAGGAGGAACCCACGCTGCACGGGGAGAACATGGAGACTCCACGCAGAAAGATCCCGGGTGTCCTCACCAGGACGTTAACCAGCGACCTTCTAGCTGTGAGGAGACGGTGCTAACCACCGAGCCATCTTGCAGAACATGCTTTCTTTAAATCTTTTTCTCCTTCATTTCGAATGTTCTACTTGTCAGCGTTCGTCACCAAACATCAGGTCAGGTTCCTCCTGAGTGAAAACCTACTTTGCAAAACATCTGATTCTGATTGTTGTGATTCTGATTTCCAACAAGACTCTGCTGAGTAGTTATGACGGTTAAACTCTCTCCTACCGGCTGCTTGGACTGTTGTTTGTCTGTCGTGGACACTTTCTAATAATTTCCTACATTAAAAACAATTAGTCGCTGCTTGTTTTTTGGCTAAACACAAACTGCTTTTCCCCGTAGACTAGTCGTGTTGTTGGCTTGCTGTCTGCAGACTCCGTCTTTGCAAGATGGAAGTTTCTGTGATGCTTTGGCTTCGCTTTCGAGGAGACGTCGTGTTAATATAAAGCCTGTGATCTGCACTGAGCTGATGATTTAGTAATATCTCTGTTCAAAATACAGAAATCCTCCCGGTGGGGCTTGAACTCACATCTCATTCCTTCAGAGTGTTCTGTGTGAGCCCGGCTGATTGCACCACTCGAGATTATTTAGACGCTTCAACACATAAAATAGTCGACTAACTGAACACTTCCTGTTTCTGTTTTTGATGCTGCTGCTGCTTCGTATGAAACAAAAATATTCACTCCAGCGTGTCTCTGATTCCAGTCTGAAGTGCTGAGGCTTCATGCTCATTAAAACCTCATTAGAAAAGCAGCGACTTGAAGAGAAAAGGGGTTTAAATTAGCAAAGCGCGGCGGCCTTCAGGCTGTGAGCACAATAACAGAACATCAATAAGACATTATTAATGAGAAAAACAAAACCGGTTAATGGGTCAGAACACGGATAGAGACGTCCTTCAGTGCTGTGGATGAAACTGATGTTTAATATTTAAAAAATTTGAACCAGCTGCTTTGAGGATTTAATGTCAATCCACCTGTTGAGCGATTTCAGAAGAAAACATGAGCTGAATTTCACTTCAGAGTAACGATTGCAAGTTTATTTTTTCACAAAATAAAACTGAAAAATGCTGCCCTCTCCCCTGATAGCGTTCTGCAAACTTGTTTTCCAAATTCTGAACATAGCAGCTGAAATACCTCCAGCGACTCTTATCCTGTTTATCAGCTGCAACTAAAGAAAAGAATGAAGTCAATATTTGCTCACGGGTTCATGTGTGGCCGGATTTAGACTCTGTGGACCGAAGTTGATCGGTCTGAACTAACCCATTGCATTCTGAGCAATAAACCCATCCATCCATCATCTATACACCGCTTAATCCTCACTAGGGTCTTAGGGGGCTGGAGTCTATCCCAGCTGACTCAGGGTGAAGGCAGGTTCACCTGGACAGGTCACCAGTCTATCACAGGGCTACACTTAGAGACAGAGAATATCTGAATAATTTAAAATGGAAGGAAATGTTTTTATTTACTTGTGTCTCATTTCATCAAGAGGATTCTGTGCTCATAAAAAATAACTGTGAAAAGTGTAACTGACTATTTGCATAATATATTCTATAAAAACAGGTAGACTGCATAGAAATTTAAAGCAGCATCACTCAGTACCTAAAAAACGGTAAAAATATCTGGCTAGCACTCTGAAAACGTAAGATTTATATCTTACGGGGACAATGACATAAAAAGTTGTGTCATCAGCGTATTATAGGTAACTGAGCTCGATCAGGGCTACACTTAGAGACAGACAACCAAGCACATTCACATTTAGAATCACCAATTAACCTCAACATGTTTTTGGACCTTGTGAGAGGAAGCTGGAGAACCCGGAGAGAACCCACGCTGCACGGGGAGAACATGGAGACTCCACGCAGAAAGATCCCAGGTGTCCTCACCGGGAAGCAAACCGGCGACCTCCTAGCTGCGAGGCGACGGTGCTAACCACCTTGCAGCCCTGAGCAATAAACCAAAACTCCAACGTGCACAAATGAAATCCAAGTTAGTTCAAATCGAGGAAACAGAAGGACGCGGACAAACGTGCATCAGTTTCGTGTTTTAATCTCGAGAATACAAAATATGGCAAAACTATACAAAGTGAATCCTTCAACATGAACTCATCTAGTTGGTTCATTTTCTGAAATACGTGTAATACGAAAAGAAAAAACAGCTTCTTCAACAACTTCTCATGTTTGTTGTTTGAGTCCAGACAGAATATTTGAACATTTTCAACACAGATAACAAGAAACATAAAATATGAGATTTATTGCTAATTTCTAATCGTGTGCATTTAATCTCAGTCTGCAGTAATAAAATCTAATTATCTAAAAAGATTGTTTTCATAAATGAGGCAATCTGTCAAATATAATAAATGATCAGTGGCTGGAAAGGATTTGTGGTGAAACAATAGTGACGGCACTTCATTGATCGTTTACTCTTTACACACAGCGTGACATTTCTAGAAGATCAATCAACATTCTTTCCTGTAAGATTTAAATTTTTAAAAAAAGTCTCAACCTCCACAAAAAGTGGTTAAACACACACACACACACACACACACATTTACACATTCACACACACACAAACACACGGACACATGAGGAGATGAGCAGTATTCAGGCAGATCTGTGGTCTTCAAAAGTTTTTCCACCGGATGGCCGAGAGGATGGCGTGGATGAAGTAGAGCAGCGTGGCCAGGAAGCAGAACACCTGAGACCAACGAACAAACGACACGAGTGAGCTTCAGCTGGTTCGTTAGTACCTGTCCTCTCTTATCGTATCGGGTCTGGTGAATACATCGAGCTCATCATCCCCAATACTTCGACTAGTTTTAACTCCTTTGCAGCAGCGAGCGGACTTTACTTACACACTTATATATATGTACACACACACTTTGTTACACCTCATGCACATCGTTTTTCACTTTATTTATTCGTTTTATTGTTGTGAAGCTCTGTTTAGTGTATGTCCCGGTTGTTTTTGTGGCTGACGGCGTTTTCCAGGCTGGGTGGGGTTTCTGGTCTCACTCAGTCTCTCCCACACCTGAGGTTCATCAGTAATCAGTGCTGGATAAAAGCCTGCCTCCACCTGTGGATTGTTCTCCCTCGAGTGGTAATCGGCCAGCGTGTTTGCTCTTGCTGTTATCTTTGTCTGCGTTTTGCTACCAGAACCTCCCCGACGGACCGACGTGTTCCCCGGCCCGGCTTCTGCAGCCGAGCTGCAGCCTCAGCCGTTCTCTCCTGGACCTCACTCCCTCATTCGGCTTCCCTCACATGCTTCCCTTGTTCCCCTGCAGCCTGATTAAATCCCTGTTTTCTAACCACCTATCCCTGTGTTGGATCCCTACTAGACTGAATCCTAACATTCCTGCTTGTTTATTGTTACTCTGTTCTGTTTATGTGTCTGTAATGTACATGTGTGTCTGTTCCTGCTGCATGGCGCCTCTTGACCAGGTCGTGTTTGCAAATAATTCTCAAACATTTTTACCTGCTCAGATAAATGAAATAAAAAGCTCAAAGTCACATTGTGAAAGTGTGAAACTAGCTGAGTTAAATTGAACCTGAGAAGTTGCATAAACTTATTGAATTGAATCAGCGAGTCACATAGACGGTGGTTACAGACTTTACTGAGTTTAACGAGCTTCTTCTTCATTCAGGCGTCTCCACCCTGTTTGGATTATTATGAAAAGTGTGTTAATGACACACAGCAGCATTCACGTTTCCTAAAGAGTCTCTGGGACACTTGAACGAAGCCAGTTTAGTTGTTTTGTTTCTTATAAACTTAATTTATTAAGTTCAGTGAACTCTCAGTCGTTCATTCATTCAGCTTATTTTACATCAAAATGTTTTAAGATTATAAGTTATGAGAACTCATGTTTTAAGATTCTAAAATTGGGTTTAAATAAAAAAATTAGCATCTCATTTTTTCTTTATTTTTCTGCTTACAGACTGATGAAAAGACATTATTTGTTTTATTTTATTTATTTATTATTTTATTTATTCATGCTGAGAAACGTCAGTAATTATTTGAACATATCTCTCATTTAACAAACAAATCAACATGAAATTAAATAACCAATATCTCTCTGTTGCAGAAATTGTATCTAATTATAGAAATATAATTACACCGATAAATGTGAACTTATTAGTAAAAGTAAAAAATAAATAAAAGGAAAGATTTGTGACGTTACACGTTTGTATTTTAACAGTTTTTTAATATGTCAAATATTTTTTGTTTATTTTTATTTTATTTTCATTATTTACATGTTTTAAATATTTATTTATTTGTTTGTTATCCTTTTTTTGTAGCATAAGTTCATACTTTCTTTTATTTTATTGATATTTTAAAAAATAAATACAAAAATACAAAAAAAAATCTGTAAAATTGCTTATTTTTTCAAATTTAACATACAGACACCAGCAGCATCAATCACTTCATCTAAATCTGGGCAAAAAAATCTAAATCATAATACCTGAAATGTTAAACTCTTTCTTAAAACTCTCTTGGAGCTGCTGTAAAAAAAAACTTTGTGTTGCTTTGAATTATAACAGTCTGATATGAATCGTTTTTCAAGAAGAAAAACAAACATGCTGCAGTTTATTATGATAGAAGTCGGGTTTTAAACTTGTTGAAGCTCACCACAGCAGCGATGTCGATCCGGTAGATTTTCAGTGTCTTGGTGTCTTTACTCAGGACGGTCATGTAGGCCAAGTCCACTCCTGCACTGAGGTAGAAGAACGCCGCCAGGCCGTGGTACGCAAAGTCCTGCACACACACACACACAAGTTAAATTATATTACACGTTACTTGATCACGTTTTATTTCCCGTCTCAGTCGTGTTTCCGTCTTACAGCAGCAGCCCAGCCGGAGCTGTTCCTGTGACCTCCAGCGCCGAAGATGGACGTCCAGAGGAAGGTCATGACGAAGCAGAACACGGAGACGAACATCACCCAGCCCAGAGGGTTCGGAGGGTCCACGTGGGTCGACGCCACCAGGATCCAAACCAAACCGCCGAACACCTGCAGCCACAAGGAGAGGAACATGAAGAGACAGTGGGTTGGCTTCTGAGGTTTACATCAGTGTGTGCTGGAAGGATCCTGAACTTCATACATGCTGACACAGTATTTCAACAAGACCACAATTTTTAAGGCTTTTTTTTGGGTGTTGAGACAAAATAAACATGTGAAAAGTTAGAAGAATGAAAATATGATGAACATCTTTGGCAACAAGGCCATAAAATACACAACCAAATGAATAGACAAAGCATATTACCAATTTCTGAAACATGTACAAGAAGCAAAAGACGACAGCTTGGAATTAAATTTTTTTTTTAAGAAAAATAAGTTGGACATGTACCTTAATACAAGCCTAAAGGAATAGTCTGACAATTTATTAAATATAAATATATTTTAATTCACTTTTTGGTGGAGAGTTGGATCATAGAACTGGTACTTCTCTTAAATCTGTGCAGTAAATATGAGGCTACAGCTAGCAGCTTAGCTTAGCTTAGCATGAAAAGAAGACTGTAAACAGAAGCAAAACCTGACAATCATCATTTCTAAAGTTTGCAGTCTTTTAGCTTAGCTTAGCATGAAAAGAAGATTGTACACAGGAGCTAAACCTGCAAATTATCATTTCTAAAGCTAGTAATCATATAGCTTAGCTTAGCTTAGCATAGAAAGGCGACTGTAAACAGTAGTGAAACCTGCTAATCATCGTTTCTAAAGTTATCAATCTTTTAGCTTTATTAGTTTAGCTTAGCCTAGCATAGACAGACATCTGGAAAGAGTAGCAAAACCTGCCAATCATCGTTTTGAAAGTTAGCAGTCTTTTAGCTTAGCCTAGCCTAGCCTAGCCTGGCATAGAAAGGTGACTGGAAACAGAAGCAAAACCTGCCAGTTATCGTTTCTAAAGTTTTTATTAGCTTGTTCCAGTTTGTTTGGTTTATTCCAAGTATGATATACAAACATATAAGGATTCACTGAGGTTATGCAGTAAACCAGGAACTTCCTGTGTTCTCCACTACCTTTCTGGTAATTACTGAGAGGCAAGAACTAGTGGTAGTTTGTCATTTTTACACTTTTAGTTTGTGCAAAACAAACAAGTTATGAATTCATAATAAAGGAAGTTTTCCTGTCTTCATGCGAAGCTTCTCATCAAAACATACGCCAGAAAGTGATTTAATAAAATCCCCAAAATGTCAAACTTTTTACATAAACTGCTGTAAGCGGAGCGTTGTGACAGCTTCTCATTAAGCTGAAGAGCATCAGAGATAACAGAAGTAACAGTCAGTCGTACATAAACAGAACCTGATCATCCGATCTTCATTCAGAACTAGTCAGACTGGATTATTATCACTCTTAAACAATACCGGCTGTGTTACTGAGGAGCAGCTGCTCCACAAACCTGCTCACTGAGGAGTCAAAACCCAAAACACAATAACCCGTATGTGACCAAAGCTGGTCGTAAAAACACAAACTACAGCCACTTTACAGGAAATGTCATAAACTATGTGTATATTAAAGGAGACATTTAGTTCAGTTGGTGGATGATTGACTTCTGTGTGAACGTTTTGACATATAACATGACATTTAACTGTCTAGACTGACAGGAATTCAAACAGTTTGTCACCATGTTGGGTTTAAAACAGAGAAAAGCTGCTTCCAAGAGCTGAAACGTAGAAGTTTCTCCTTCCCTGAACCGCTTGACGCTGATTAAACAGACTAACAACAACAGATTTGACTTTATAAACCTATTTACAGATGATCAAACGCTCTTTTCTTCACTATTTTGTTCTGCTTCTCATTTTCTCTCTCGTTTTTGCCTCTTTAAAGTTTAATCTGAAGACGTAAACCTCCACCTGCAGCAGAGTTCTGTTTAGTTTCTGCTCTTCAGGCGGATTATTTTCCCCAAAACACACGACCTAAATGCCTGTTTTTCTCTGAGTCTAATTGGACCGAGCTGACTGATGGAACCTTTGTTGTTCTGTGATAATACCTGCCGTTATTTTATCTCTTATTGCTCAAACACGGACCTGGATGCAGGCTGATGTTCTGCAGATCAAATGTGTTTTACTGCCAGTCTGAGCTGAAACTTCTCTGTGTGATCAAGTCAGAATCAGTCAGACGATGCATGAACAGACAATCTAAATTTGAGCAGAACCTTTAACTGTAAAAAAAAATGCAACAAGTGGTGAAAATCCAGCCGACAAACGAGCACCAGAGGCCGTATCTGTGTAGCTGTTGGCTAAACAAACCCTCCTCTCCTGTTCCATGTGGGCGGTGTTTAATATTTCAGGTTACTCAAGTGTTAACCACATATTCTAAACCCTCAGGAATCCAACGTGATACGTTATCGCCGTGTTGTGTACCTAAAGGACTGGCACTAAGACTGACCACAGCTGTATCTTAGAAAGCATTCATGGCATTTAAAAGTGACGAGTCATGCTGGATTTAAAGCTCCATCATCCCAAATGTAGCACAGAATTAACCCGAAAGCCAGAAATATGCATATTTACTGATGTTCATGCCGAGGCTGATGTCTGAAATACCCTAAATCTGTTGGAAGCTTATTAAAAAAGATTATGTTTTCTACTAACATGATGTCGAGAAGACATCCTGATGTTGAACAGATCAGCGACAACATGTTGGGTTTCCACCAAAGCAGCACAGAGTAGTGGCTGCAGCATCACTAGAGTCCTTTTAAAGTCATGTTAAGGCACTTTTTAGTTTGTTTGTTGGTAACACATAATGATTTAACAAGTACAGTCGTGACTTGATAATCCGACACTAAATGTAAAACCTTCTTTTATGTCGGATATCAAGGCTGTCGGATTGTCAAGACAGAGGTGGAGATACAAGGAGGGCTTGATGCTTGAAGGCTCATTAGTTGGTAATATTTATTGTTCATAGTTGTTATAATAACTAGTGTATTGTTAGAACACTACGCATCGCTGGATTTCAGCCTAACTGATCGGTGGGCTTGTGCACAGACCCATCGGTTGACATCAAAGGTAAATGGTCCTAAATCCAACAGGTATCTGATCTTTTGCCAGGTGACTTCTGTCTGAACAGTCAGGTCGCGCTCATCCCACCTACACGTCATTGATACACGACAAACTAGGGCTGGTCCCAGTAGCACCTTATGGTTTCTGGATGTTCAGGCCCAATGAATGATGAATATCAGAATATTCAGAGCAGTCGGGGGACACTTCCATCCCGGGGCAGCGCTCCGATGGGGTGGAAGTGTCCAGAACACACAGGCAGTACTTGGCTGCTGATGCTAGTTTAGTTAGCGCTCACACTTCTGTTTCCACCATCGGTGGCGGCGGGGGAGTGGCAGATACGCTCCACCGTTACCAACCATGTTTACTTCCATAAACACTGAGCACGCTCCTTTATCGAACTTGTAAATATTATTTGAATATTTATAATTTATTTATTTATTTATTTATAATTAATTTAAATTGAATTTCCCTTCTGGGATAAGTAAAGTATTTTTCATTTCATTTCATTATGATTTGATTATGCAATATTATTACTCTTTTTTTGCTCTTTTTAAAAATTATTTTCTTTTGTTTTTATATTTTTTCCTCTTTTGTTTGTTTAAAATTCAATTCAATTCAATTCAATTTTATTTGTATAGCGCATATTTACAACAACAAGTCATCTCAAAATAAATTCACTTCATTCATTCATTCATTCATTCATTCATTCAAAAGAAAATGAACATGTTAATGTAAAGAGATCTGTGGAATTAACACATTAATGCATAAATAACAAAGTTATTGCTCATGAAATATTAAGAATTCAAACTGGGGCGTCACAAACTGATGTTATCTTC